CCTCCTGCCTCAGCCTGCCAAGTTTTGGGATTCCGGGTGTGTACCACCACTGCTGGCTAGGGCTGGCTTTTTGATTAACTTGTTACCAGAAGCCAGGAAAGCCATGGTAGAAAACGTCTTACTAATCTCAAGGGCTGTGAAGGGCTGTTTCTTTTTACATCTAGTTCCTGGGGGATCTCAGGTTTCAGCTCGGATTTCAGCAATTGCTCAGCAGCAGAGGGTTTCCTGAGGGGGGCCAAAGAAAGCAAGAGGAAAGAGCTTTTGATGCTGAGATCAGGTTTTATGCAGAAAAAGAGGAGCAACATTCCAAATGCAAGAGTTCTAGATGTAAAAACCTTTCCTGGTGGCACTGTGAAGACTTTAGGTAGAAGCATAAGGCGTACATTTCTGTTTGTTCATTTCTGTCGTGCTGACGTTGAATCTGGGGCCTCGCGTGTCAGGAAAGTGCTCCGTCGCTGGGCCACGTCTCCTCCCTAGGAATGCATTAGTGAGGGCATAAAATATTGCTTTGAGGGAAATGGCTTTGTTAGGCTTTAAGTACGTCACTGCTCAGCATTGAGAACTTCTGTCACTTTTTGCCAATCGTCTGTATGTTCTGCAGATTGGGTCTGTGCGATTAGGCTCTTCGCATGGCAAGGAATGCATTTATAGATTTCTTAGGCTTATTTGGTGTCTTGCATTCATGAATTTTGGAAGCATTATTTAATTTATTTAGAGAAAGGCTTTCACTATGAAGCCCTGGCTGGCCTCAAACTCCCTGTGATCTACCTGCCTCAACCCCCTGAGTGCAGGAATGACAGGTGTGCCCCCGCTCCCCAGCCTGGCTCTGGGAGCATCCTTGACTTAGCATTGGAGGAGCTGCAGAGGCCCCCCTCATCCCAGGGTCTCAAGAAAGCTGGGTGCACTGGCTCCCTGAGGCAGGTGTTTGAGTGCCACCATAACCATGTGACCTTGGGAAAGGTATTTCACCTTGCAGGCCTCAATTGCCTTGTCTGTAAAATGAGGATAAGAATAGCACCCACCTCATAGAGCTGTCATGAAGACTTCTGAAATAACACACACAGGGGCGGGCAGGGGGCCAGGCACTGATCAGGGCTCCACAAGCATTGTGGCCATTGCTGACTAGTCTCCCGACCAGCTGCTGTGAGGTAGCGCTGATGTACCATCATTTTCGTAACCGTGCTCATTAGTACTGCGGTCGTTAGAATGATCAGCGACTATTAATTATTAGCAAACATTGTTTAGTAGAACTACGTCTATAGTCATTGTGTGTCAGAGCCGTGCAAAATTCCATATCTTATTGTACAGAGACCTCAGTACCCCAGTATCTATGCTGATGGCTTTGGTGGAATGGGGATTTCCCCCCAAAACCTGAGCAGAAGAATCTCACTGATCATGCTGCTTGTGTGGTGGGTAGCTGGCAAAGCCCTTGTCACTTCTTTATTATTTATTTATTTATTTATTTATTTATTTATTTTGAGACAGGGTCTCACTATGTAGCCCAGGCTGGCCTTGAACTGGCAGTGATCCTCCTGACTCAGCGTCCTGAGGGCTGGGATTACAGGTGTGCACCACCATGTTTAGCTGTTTGTTTTTCTTTGAGACAAGGTTGCAGTGTATAGTTTAGGCCAGTCTTGAACTCAGTATGGCTGAATGAAACAGATGAACAAGCAGCCATAAACTGTCATCCCCGAGAGCAGTTGATGATACGCTTGGTGGTGTATTAGAGCTCTGTTTTAACATTTGGCTTTTAAAAACTGAGGCACATTTTACCAGAGGGACTTTTTAAAAAAACTTTTTTGTGGAACCAGAGGTTGAACTCAGGCCCTTGCGCTTGCCAGGCAAGCGCTTATTCCACTGAGCCACCTCCCCAGCCCTGGATTTGGGTTGGGGTGCCCTGTGAACAGGAGAAAGTGACTGCCTTCTCCTACAATCCAGGAAGCTAGTGCCACAGAGAGACGGACAGAGAGAGGGAGGAGAGCTGTGGAGCCACCATCCTAAGGGGAGATAAGACTTCTGCGGGGCACCTGGGTGTCTCAGTTCTTTGTCTGTCTCGATGGTTAGGTAGAGGACCGTAATAAACTTGGCTTCTCCAAGATCCTGCAATGAAGAGAAAAACATGATTTTTTGTTTTCCAGCTAGAACCTTACTATGTACTGCAGGCTAGCCTTGAACTCACTATGTAGCTCAGGCTGACATCAAATTCATGGCAATCTTCCTGCCTCCCAAGTGCTGAGATTACAGACATGTGCCACCATGCCTTGCATGACTTCTAAAGTGGATCGATCTAGATGCAAATCTTGACAAATTCACTCATTGAAACAGCAGGATTATTTTAATTAATTAATTAATTAATTTTTTGGGGAACTGGGGGTTGAACTCAGGCTCTTGTGCTTGCCAGGGAAGTGCTTATCCCACTAAGCCATCTCCCTGGCCCCCAGGGTTATTTTATTTTATTTAAAAATATTTGTATTTTCAGTCCATGGGATTGAACTCAGGACCTTCACACTGAGATACATCCCCACCTCTTTTTTGAGGCAGGATCTTGCTAAATTGCCCAGGCTGTGTTCAAACTTGTGACTCTCCTGCCTCAGCTTCTGAGTTCTGGGATTATAGGTGTTCATTAGCACAGCTGCCCTGGGGTTGTTACTTTAAAGTAGTGATCCAGACACCAGCTGGGCCTGGACAGTGTGACCATGAAAGAGCGAGGTGCTGGTGCCTGACTGGGAGGGTCTCACACTGTGCCACACAACGCTCCTCTGCACATCTGTGCACTCGGTGCTCAGCAACACACATGTGGAAGGGTGAGGAGGTCCATTTTGCAGAGAAGGAAACTGAAGACCAGAGCCCTGGCACAAGCTCTTCCCCTTCTTACCCCTCCCCCCTCCCTCCCTCCTTTCTCCCCTCCCTCCCTCCCCACTTCCTTCCTTCCTTCCCCCTCCCCTCCCCCTCCGCTTCCCCCTCCCCTCCTCCTGCTTTCCTCCCTTCCTTCCTTCCTTCCTTCCT